TTTTATAATTTTCAATGGCAAAATGAATTTTCTTAATAATGAGATCGAGTACAGCCATATAAGTTGAAATTTTCTTAAGAAACCATATTTGTATTCATTGATGATGTTATATTTTTCAATATGTGGAAACAGAATTAGTACTGTCTCTTATACACATCTAGATGTGTATAAGAGACAGGATTAAACATATGGCAAACAAAAGAAGCAATAGGTGCACTTTCAGAATTTAAGTATTTTCATTTTAGATACAATTTAGATTATCTTTTTCTCTTTAGTAGGTAGAAGAAAAAGTGAATGAAAATAGTTTCCATTTAAATAATCGCGACAATTAGCATTATTATTACAATTAATTTTGTCAGCAAGTTATTATTATTACACCAATTATTGTACTAAAGTGGTTGCTGAATATATCAGCGATGTTAGGGGTGTGGGCACTGTTTTCAGTATCCGGGATAACAACTTTAGTTTTGGTTTTACCAAAACTGTACATCTTTATAATAATCCATGTTTTCCTTGAGCGGTGATGGAAGTCGATAAGCGATCCGAGTAATATTTACGCTTACAAAACCTAATGGTAAGATTGAGCTTATTTCTATGTTATGTATATAGGCCTATTACCATAACATATAACATATAGTGTATTTACGATGAATTTGAATAGCTTTGTAGATCATGAAATTCCTTTTGAGATCCATGGATTAGTTCGTTTATTCTTTTGTTGTTTAACATTAATTAACGGAATGGAAGAATCAATTAACAAATTTAATAAATATATTAAGTGTAAGCCTCATCAGCATTTTTAAAATTGTACACACAATCCCAATCAGTATTACTTATATTGTTATTGAGTGTGATTATTGACTGTTCATTAGCAAGTCTAATTGATATGGATTGGAAAATAAGAGAGTTAAATGTTACATATTGGATAAAGCCAGCCAAGGGCTAGAGATGCAAGAGTCACAGTCACAACAAACCGACACCCACATTCAAAAAGAAACTACATACTTTTGAGCATGGCGGCTCATGGTTTACGGAAGGGCCAAATGCCTCGCTGTCAACCAGTTTATTGGGCACCTTACAGATTGTTAAATTAAATTATCAAGCACGCAAGTCAGTGACAATCCTCCTTGTTGAGTTCTTCCTGCCTTTCGTCGCATTTTTTTTATTGCATATTATCATTAAACCTTGAACATGAACAATCAGTTGATAGGCATTGCATAAGTTTAATTGTTTTAAATGCTGAAAAAACCAATTTATGTTAATTGGTTTTGACAGGAATCTGTCGAAAGAGAAGAGGTGTTGCATAGCAAGTTTAAGTGTCTTAAACTATAGAGGGCAGCATTTGCTGTGATGTTTTAAGGCACGTCAGTAGTATTAACTACGGCGAAAGAAATGAGAAATTAAATTGAATTTATTCAAATTGCACAACTGTTTTCCAGAAGGACATTTTAAGTCTAGCCTCCAAAACACCTTTTTATATTCAACTATGAATTTTGTTTTTCGTATTTATTTTCTTTGTCTAATTTGTTTTGATGTCTGTAATTTTAATTTAACTTAGGCATACCAGGGAACAGTGAAATTCCCCCTGGGCATACTTGTTACCAAAATTCTGAATTTTTATATGTGTGGAAGTTCGGATTAACGTTTGCTGTTTGGTAGATTTTAATGATTTTATTACATATTTTTGTGTTCTACTGTTTATAGCAGTATTTACACATCTTTGTTTTTGTGTACAAAAGTAAGTATATCACTGAAATAACATTTGAAGCCTTTCATTGTTTAATTTGATTTTTTAAAGAGTTTTAATTTAAAACATCACAATATTTCTGGCCATTTGCCTTCATATTTTCTTTAACATTAAAAGGATTATTTATATTTACAGCATTGCCGCAAGACGTTTAACAGTTTAACTCTATCATATTATATTGTTACAACTACATTTTTATCGACTAAAGCGCGTGACGTCATTCTTACAACTGCTCAAAACGATTTTGAATAGAAATCTGTGAAGATATATGGTATCTTAAATTAAAAGCATGAGACTTACATTACAAGAAAGCTTAATTGACGAGTTTCACTTGATTGTTCACCCCGAAGCTCAATGACGTTTGGTTTCCGAGTTATGTGGAAACAGAATTAGTATACCAAAACAAAACAAAACAAAAAAAACCAAAAAAAAAAAACCACCTAATTTTAGCCTTTTTCCTATACAAACTCATAAGAGGTTGTCAAAAATTATCATTCAATTGTTATTTAAAGATAACGATAACAATAACAAAGCTAAAAAGCAATGGTTCATATAAAAAATAAAAGAAATAAGGGAAGTTTTTACACTAGAACGATTCGATAACGATTTATCAGTTATGTGATAACAACATATTTTGACAAATAAAATCAGATGACGTCATAATCATGGAAAACATTAAAATCGTAGTAGTAGCAACGATTTGATTCGTTTAAAAAATTTGTTATCGTATACAAGATAAATCGTTATCGAATCGCTCTATTGTAGAAACTTCTCTTATTTATTTTGTTTTCTATATAAACAATCGCTTTTTAGCTTCTTTTTTTTTATCGTTATCGTTATCGTTGAAGTATAAACAGGCCTTTAAAGTGTGCGGCGTAAACCGTTTAGTGAGCAGATGACGGAGAGTTCATTATGTAAAGTAAACTAGAAAACCAACTAACAAGAAAGTCACAAGGAAGTAAACTAATGAACGGTGGAAAGCCGACAAAGATATTATGGCTACATACAAGGATGTCCTGTATCTTGTAAAATTGCTGTTGCACAACTGTAATTCAAACAATTGTTTATGTTTGCTTTCCCGTTCTTTAGTCAATACAAAAAAAACCCAACGCTTTAGGCCTATATTGTATTATATAGCACACAAGGAAGCGAATGGGAAAAATTGTTGTGCAAGTAAGTGCTCCGAGCCTGAACCTGGACTCGAGATTTAGAAATAATGTTTTGAATCATTGACAGTATTATACACTGTATTATATAGGCCTAATAAATAGTTGAAAACTTTCAGTCGCAGAATTTTAGACCATACTACAGTAGTACAGTGGCGTATCTAATGCAGGGCGTAAAATTATTAGTTCATCACCCCTCCCTCATCATTTATTAAAAAATTCTATTTTTTTTTTCAATCAACATATATTTTTGACTGGTACAACAAGAACATCTTTTTTAATATAAATTTGATTCCACTTTTTATGACTTTATAAATTTGTCCTTAACCATTGACTTACTTGCGAACATTGGTAAAATGGGGGCGGGGTTAGCAACAAAAAAAAAAAAAGGAAAAACCTCCCTCCCTCCCTTATCAGTTTTTATTCTTTGATAGGGTGATAAACTAAAATTTTTTTTTATGGGGGCCTTATCAGGTTAATTATAACGAGCTGTAGGCCTAAACATGTACTGTACACAATCTGGATGCAGGGTACCCGGAACGCCGCCCTTAGCGGCGTGTGCGAAGCACAACTAAAGCTGGATTTCCACTAGGCGAATTCATTCTCGCGCTGATCAAAGCGTCGGTTCGCTTCCTGAGCTCTGATTGGTTGCGCATTTTTTCGCTTCGCAAATACTCCGATAGGAATGTGAATACGCATGCGCATGAACCCACGCTTTCGATTCGCGCGAATAAATTCGCCTAGTGGGAAACAGGCTTTAATGAATATTATATAACACAAGTAACATGCAATTTGGTCTTTGGCCGCCTTATATTATTGTTTGATGTATGATGTTTGAATAAATAAAGTAATAATTTTAAATATCAACCAACCTACAAATAAGAAGCAACCCAGGTTTTTTTTTTTATAAAAAATTTCCTCAAACTGCTGATGTTGTTATGTCACTTGACATAATAAATGGATGCACAGTACAGCACAATTAAATAGTTGAATCTGGTGTTTTTGGGTCCATTAAATGATACCATAGAGTGGGAATTTGGGCTTTTGGGATGCTTCTGGATGGAACGCTGAGATAGACATTGCTAATAATAGCAGAATGCATAGAACCATCTCATCACTATCTTCAACACAGCCAATTCCAGATAAATTCCTAAACAAGAGCAAATGTACAAAGTAAAAAGCCAGATGTTGTCTATAATATCAACATAAGTTTAGAACATTTTTGAAAGACACAGTTGGGTAATGGAAGGTTGTGCAAAGAGAACATTGTACTGAAAAAATTTCCACTGAGTACTTCTTGAAAGCAAAAAGAAAGAAGGTCTCCCATAACCTAGTGTTTACAGAAACCCAAAACCTTGAAAGAAAACTTACACTCTTTCCAAATAATAGTAATAGTTTAAACAGTACCACTTTGGAAAAATAGATATTGCATTATTTATTTTAAAAATAGGTAAAGATTGTGATTGTACTAATGGCCACACATCTGCTTTTCTCACTGTTATGTACTATATATTTATTACTGTATTTGTTAGCTAATATTTACAAACACAATTAAGAGTTGCCTTAATTTATTAGCTGTGAATCTCTGTTAATTTCACACTTTATTATATGATTTATAAGCTGGTTTTATTATTTCCATTTTCAAACATTTATTATGTCAAGTCTTAGAAGTGTTAAGGTCTATAGAACGCCGTTAGTTTTATGTGCAAACATATTATGTGTAATCGCCATAACGTTATGTGTAATGGTAATGGTCATGAGGTTACGGGATTTGGTCATGAGGTTATGGGATTTGGTCATTATGTTATGTGGTTTAGTCATGATGTTATGTGGTTTGGTCATGATGTTATGTGGTTTCTCATTATGTTATGTGGTTTGGTCATGATGTTATGTAGTTTGGTCATGATGTGTGGTTTGCTCATTATGTTATGTGGTTTGCACATTATGTTATGTAGTTTCGACATGACGTTCGGACGTCCTTGCGGAGTATGTGAAGAAGTGTAAATAAGAAGACGGCTGTACAAGTAAGCCTATCAAGTTTCCGTTTGAAACTTTTGTGATTGACCGAGAGCGAGCGAGAAGAGAAGACGTGCATCAAAGAATGCACAACCGTACCCGCCATGCATCTATGTGACCAAGTGACGTATGTTACGAGCCTGAAAGCGAGGGGCTTCAGGCTTTATGTAAAAAAAATGCAAGAACCAACAAATACGGTACTAATAATAGGCAAAATCCATCAAGCATATTCATGAAGAACTATCTTTGGCTGATGTATTCGAAGCATTTGAAAGAAAAGGTAAACCAGACTAGGCCTAACCCATGTAGGCCTATGGCTATGTATGTTTTGTTTAGGTTTGCTGCTAGGCCTAGGCCTACCTTATTCTTAGTTAAGGCCTAAGGGCCTAGGGCTATAGTACCAGGTTACTCGTTTTTTATTCTTTATGTATAAAGATGGTTTAAGTTCTATCTATTTTATATCTTAATTTATATATTTTTATGAGTATTTTGTAATAAACTATTAAAAATTAATATTTAACTGTTATTTATTATTATTTGAGGCCGGAGGCCTATGCCTATGTAGCCGATCATTTCGGTCGCGCTTCGTTTCGGTCGCGGTTTATTTCGAACAAATATATGGAGCGCCGAAGGAGTTGCGAAAACACAAAATTTAATATGCCTAGACCCTATATATTATTATAATTAGTTTGTCAAATCGGTTTATCATAGGCCTAAGAATTTTTTTATTTCCGTTTTTCTATCTTTCTACTAACAACATTTTATCTTTCTACTAAACATATTCTCTTTCTTCCATTTACGGTGATATATTCATATGATTAAAACATGATCTTATGATTGAAACAATGGAATTTAGTATGTGCCTCATGCTATTTTTTTGTTGGATTTTCATATACTATAATAGGCCTACTTTAATAATTATGGTCAATAAAATGTATCTTTGATTTTAATTGAATTGAATGTTGTTACACACATTATCCATTCTTCATTTGAAATTTTTAATTTTCTTTGATACCCCTGCGCAGTTCATAATTATGAATATATATTTATATATGATTTTATAAGCATATGGGATATACCTAGAAAC